CCAGATGGATTCACTAGTGAATTCTTCCAAATATTTAAAGAGGACCTATTGCCAGTATTGCTCAAGCTTTTCCAGGAAGTTCAAAAAACAGAAACACTCCCAAACAGTTTCTATGAGGCACATATCACTCTCATACCAAAACCAAACAGAGACACCACAAAAAAACAAAATTACAGGCCGATATCCGTGATGAACATAGATGCGAAGATCCTCAACAAAATATTAGCAAATAAACCAATGACTCATCAAAAATATCATATATGATGACCAAGTGGGATTCATTCCAGGGATGTAAGGATGGTTTAACATTTGCAAGTCAATCAACATAGTCCATTATATCAATAAAAGAAAATTAAAAACCATATTATCATATCAATAGACACATAGAAAGCAGTTGACAAGATCCAGCACCCATTTATGATGAAAACTCTCACCAAAATGGGCCTAGAAGGAACTTTCCTCAAGATAGTCAAAGCCATCTACCACAAGCCCACAACAATCATTAACCCCAATGGGGAAAACCTAATAGTCTTCCCCCTAAGATCAGGGACAGGACACGGATGTGTACTCTCTCCATGTCTATTCAATATACTACTGGAAATCCTTGCCATAGTGGTTAGGCAGGAAAAAGATATTAATGATATTCAGATAGGAAAGGAAGAAATCAAGCTCTCACTATTTGCAGATGACATGATACCATATTTAGAAAAAGTCTCTACCAAGAAGCTCCTAGAAACAATAGCCTTGTATAGTAAAGTCGCAGGCTATATAATCAATACCCAAAAGTCCATGGCTTTCCTATATGCAAATAATGAGAGAAGAAAGTGATATGAAAAAAGCAATCTCATTCAAAGTCGTGCCTCTAGAAATCAAGCACCTGGGAATCAGCTTAACTAAGGAGGTAAAGAACCTATACAAAGAAGACTACAAAACACTAAAGAAATAAAATAGGACATGAGGAAATGGAAACACATCCCCTGTTCATAGATTGGCAGAATTAACTCTGTCAAAATGGCAATACTCCTCAAAGCATTATACAGATTCAATGTGATCCCTATAATGGTACCCTGACATTCTTCAAAGAAATTGATCAAACACTCCCGAAATTTATATGGAACAACAAGCGCCCACAAATAGCTAAAGCAATTTTTGGGAAAAAGAGGATGGGAGACAACACCTTCCCAAAACTCAAACTCAAACAATGCCATAATAATTAAAACAATTAAAACAGCATGGTATTGGAAAAAAGACAGATCCACAGAACAATGAAATACGGTTGAATATTCTTACAAAAAGCCTCTAATATATGATCTTCTAATCTTTGATAAGGGAGCAAGAAATATAAAGTGGAGCAAGGAAAGCCTCTTTAACAAATGGTATTACATGAAAAAAAAATGGATGAAGACTTTTACCTAACACCATGCACAAAAAGTCAGAGCAAAATGGATTAAAGGCCTCAATAGCAAACAGACCAGAATCCGTAAGGTACATTGAAGAAAAGGTAGGCAAAACCCTCTATGACTTTAAAACTAAAGGTATATTCAAAGATGAAACACCACTGACCAAGCAAGTGGAAATAGATAAACAAATGGGACTATCTTAAACAAAGAAGCTTCTGCGCCTCAAAAGAAACAGTGACCAGAGTACAAAGATAGTCTACAGAACGGGAAAGGATATTCACCCAATACCCATCTGATAAGGGGTTAATGTCAAGGATATATAAGGCACTGGTTGAACTCTACAAGAAGGAAAACATCCAACCCTATCAGAAAATAGGGCAATAAAATGAACAGAAACTTTCTCAAAGAAGAAATTCGAATGGCCAAAAGGCACATGAAAAAAATTCTCTTCATCACTAATCATCAGGGAGATGCAGATCAAAACAACAACGAGATATCATCTCACACCACAAGAGACTGGAACACATCCAAAAGAACAAAAGCAACAGGTGTTGATGTGGATGTGAGGAGAAGGGGACTCTCTTTTACTGTGATGGGAATGCCGACTGGTTCAACTTTTTTGGAAAACAATATGAGCATTCCTCCAAAACACTAGAAATTGAGCTCTCCCATTTGACCCAGCAATACCACTACTGGGAATATACCCTGGAGATTCAAAAAAACACAGTAAAAATGATATCTGCATTTGTACATTTATTGCAGCACTATTTACAAGCCAGAATCTGGAAAAAACCCAAGTGCCCAAGAACAGATGACTGGTTAAAGAAACTCTGGTACATATACACAATGGTAAACTATAGAGCTGTTAGAAAAAATGAAATCATGAAATTTGCATATAATTGGATCAACATGGAGAGTATCATGTTAAGTAAAATGAGTCAGAAAGAGAGGAACAGACATGAATTGACTGAACTCATTTGTGGAATATAAAGTAACAGAATGGGATACTAACACCCAAGGATAATAGAGATAAGGGCCAGGAGGATAGATCCACAACTTGGAAGCTGGCCTCACATGTTGGGGGAAGTTTTAAATCATGTAAAAAATTGAGAATTTATAACAGAAAATTTCTAATGAATTATAGAAGTGTTTTCATAGAGTACTTCCATATTACTGGACATGAAGTTTATGAAAACTGAAATACTTTCAGTCATGAGATAAGTAATATATAAGTTATGTAAATTGCAAACCACAACACCAAAAGGAGAGAGAGAACAAAAGGGAATACCCTGCAACAGAAGCAGGGTGGGATGGGAGGATCGGGGGGTGGGAGGGATACTGGGACCTGTGGTGGTGGAAAATGGGCACTGGTGGAGGGATGGGTGTTTGAATATTGTACAATTGAAACCCAAACACAAAAATTTTTAAGTCTACAACTGTACCTCATGGTGTTTCACTAACAAAAATTTTTTTAAAAAGTATCCATATAATTCAACTCAAATCATACTAAAGGATGATGATGAAATGTGATGACTTTACTAATCATTCCAAAAGAGAAACACAGAATATGTATCGTATCCCTTCTAACATCCCAGAATGTATATGCATGTATACATGCATGTATGGGTACACCCAAAATATGAAATTACAAGAAAAAATTTAAGAGTTAAAAGTGAAAACTGAAGAGTTGAGAAGGATAAAAATGAATCTTATAAGATTCTAGTAACGTTAAAAGAGAAATTTAAATCATATGAAGAAAAATAAAAGCATCAAAAGTAAAAAGAAACGATATAAAGAGAGAAGTGTTGGGGCAGGGAAACAGTACAATGGTCAGGGTCCATGACTAGCATATACCCAACCTAGGTTTGATCTCCCAGGTATTTACAAAAGCAGTGCTGGATGCCCAGAGAAGTGCCTGGTATGCCCCCTTCCCCCCAGCATTGCCAATGTGGTTCAAATATCCCGAGAACTTCAGGGTCGAGCAGCAGTGTTTTCTAAATCCCTATATTGAAACTCAAGTTTGGTTGGCCAAGAAATGCTAGTGAGGCCGTAGGGACCCTGAGAACCAACTGGAAGTTTCCATAAAGAAAAATTTAATGTAAATCTTTCACATAATTCTCAAAAACCTAGGACTCAGGAATTAATCCACTTTTCCACTATCTATGTCAAAAGAGAAAAGTAAACTATCAGCGGAGAAAGCAGAAGTTTTAAAAGAAAGTTGAAAAGAATTTAAGGGGAAAAAATGTAAGTCCAAGGATAAAAATCAAGGGTTTACTAGAATAACCAAAGTGTATAAAGAGAAAAGCAGGCTACTGAGAAAACAAAATCAAAAACTGTAGGAGAAATTCAATTATAGAATTGTCTAAACGAATTACCAAAAGGTCTGTGGTAAAAAGAAAAATAAATGGAAAAGGTGAATGAGGGCTAAAAGCAAATAATGAAGGTGAAACTGGTGTCAGGAAAAAATGGTAAGAAAAGAGAAAAATAATGTGGGTGGTGGTGGGGAAATTCAAAATAATGAAGGTGGGAAGGTGTAATGGTGGTGGTATTGGTGTTGAAAGATTATGTAAACAATTACATAAACAAAAGATTATGTAAAAAATTACTGTGAACAACTTTATGAAAATAAAATTAAAAATTAAAAAAGAGAAAATATGGAGAGAAACAAAATTGCCAGAGAAAAATGAGAAATGTGTGATGATAATTATCTAGAGAAAAATTGAAATAATTGAAGAAAAATAAGCAAGGATAAAAACATGTTTCTGAAAAGCAATAAAAATCATCAAGAAAATAAACTATCTTTTAATCCAATGGAGACGTTACTGGGCCCGCTCGAGCAAATCGACGATCAACGGGAGGGCCTTTACCTTTACCTTAATGAAGGAGAAATTTCTAAAGGAAAATGAGAAAACATAGGAAAAAATAGTAGTTTCTGGGGTGGGAGGGAAGTGACAGAAGAAAAAGGAAGTATGAGAAGGGGAAAGAAAATTTCTTAGAAGAGTGTAAAGAGAAAACAAAATTAAGAGATACTATTCCTAACACATAAGTATTGCTCTGCACTAGTATTAAATTCTATGGGTACTTGCACCATCACTGCTAGAAAAAAAATATTAATAGTAGATATTATTGCTATTATAATTTTATACCCCAAATTTGCTCAAAACAGCCTACTAGCAAAAGTTTATTCCTTAAAACTATTTACAAATTAAAGTATCATTTACCCCAATTTGATTTAACAAGGATATAAATAATAAATCCTCTCTTAACTATGCAGAATAGGGTAATTTTAAATTTCACATTCAAAAGGAAAAGATAAGATGTTTCTATGACCTTTGCTGTCTCTTGGAGGCAGAAACCATTCTGTGTGATAAACAATAACTGAAACATTTTCTATAAGTGTTTTCAGAAATTTTCAAATGTTCTCAAAGTTGTCCACTTAAAACAGCATAATTCTTATGAGACTATATTAAAAAATTCAACAGAACATAACTTTTGGCTTAAATTTTGAAACCGTTTACTTATATCTAGATTTGAGAAAAACTTTTTAAACTAAATATGATAGAATTTAAGAAACTTAAAGCATCTTATAAGTTTACTTACAATTGACATCAGAGTCAGTACGTAGTGCTGTAAATTCTGTCCATGATGATGAACCATTTTAGCATCAGCTGTGACCATAACTTCCACATATCTTGGATATGATAAAAAGCGTTTTTTCCTGGAATGCAATTGACTTCTTTCATCTTCCAAGGATATATTTCTTGAAGAGTGTCCAAAAACTATTTCCTTATTTATATTAAAATATTGATGTATGCTGCTGTAGTTATGTAAGGACAAATTGGTGTTCATTTCTGGCAGGAGAAAAAAAACAAATGTGAAGTGATTAAACTGGATGTGATTAAAAACACTGAAGTGAGTGGATCATGAACATACAACTTTATAGCAATTTCTAAGTCTCTAGTATCATTGTCATTTCCATCGCCAAGAAAACTGCTTATGAGAATCATCCATACTGTTTTCCAAAAGGCCTGAACCAGTTGGCATTCCCACCAGCAGTGAAGGAGGGTCCCTTTCTCGCCACATCTGCGCCAGCACCGGTTGCTTTTGTTCTTGTGGATGTGGGCCTGTCTCTTTGGTGTGAAATGATATCTCATTGTGGTTTTGATCTGCATCTCCCTGATGATTAATGATGTGGCAGGGTGGGATGGGGGGGATGGGGGGTGGGATACTGGGATCCGTGATGGTGGGAAATGGGCACTGGTGGAGGGATGGGTATTTGATCATTGTATAATTGAAACCCAAGCACAAAAATTTGTAAGTCTACAACTGTACCTCATGGTGTCTCACTAAAAAAACCTAAAAAAAAAAAAAATACTGCTGATGTAAACAGGTTGAGTGAAATGGCTCTGCAAATGCTTTCTGTATACCTAGTACTTGCCATCTGGTCAATTTCTCTCTGGAGGACATACTACTGACCCTGTTAACATCTGCAGTACAGTAGACAGTCAGATAAATCTTCCTTGCCTAGGCAAGGGTATTTCTTCTACTTCTTCTACTTGTTCCTCCTTTTAGCACAGTTTTCCTATATGCTGCAGACATCAGTTCAACTCATTGAACCACATCTGTCCCCAGTCACCTCAAAGACAACAAGAAGTGACCCCTGAACCCGGAGCTAGAAGTCCCGAGAACCTTTAGGTTTGGAAGAGGAGGACTAAGAGTAAGAAGGGAAGAGGATAAGAAGCAGTAGAAGAAGTTCCCATCAGGAAAGAGCTGTTGTACAGGTTCAACATTTCAACATAGGTTTGTAGATTTGTAGGCACTACATCAAACTGCAATAGTCAAAGGGAGGCTTATAGAGGTGGCACAGTGCACAGTGAATCTGTGAGATGTTGTAGTAGCCACAGTCTTTTAGATCTCCAGCTGCATGTGGCTGACCTGGGTTCATTCTCTGGAACCCCAGATGGCCCTCCAAGCCCACCAGGAGCGATCCCTAAATGCAGAGCTAGGAGAAAGTCCTGAACACAGCTGGGTATACCTCCCAGCCCCCCGCAAAATAAGATGGGAAAAAGATTAAAAATAAATGAAGAACACACCAGAATTTTTCAGAACGTTTAAGAAGGACAATAAAATAATTATACCGTACAGCTATAGTGGTCAATACTGTGTGGTATTGGAATTAAGGCAGATTCTCCAACCAATGGCACAGAATACAGAGCCTCGAGACAGGCCTGATAGATGAGCAACTAATCTTCAACAAATGAGCTAGAAGTATGAAGCAGAGCACTAAAATCTTCTTTAACAAATGGTGCTGGGAAAACTGATTATCCACGTAAAAAAAAAAAATTCTTGATTCTCTATCTTACACCATACTTGTCACTTGTCATCCCATTGCTCATTGATTTGCTCGAGTGGGTGCCAATAACATCTCCATTCATCCTTGTCACGTGCTAGTGCAGCCCAGAGGCATCTGCTTGCTCCAGGAACACGAAGAGTATCAAACCGTTTGTTTAGGGTCTTGACGAAGGAAGTCCGACCATCTCATAGGTGGGCGGCCACACATTCTTTTGTCATCCCGTGGAATCCAGTCGGTAATGGCTCTACTCCAGCAGTTGTCTACAAATCGCATTATGTGTCCAGCCCATCTGATTTTCGAGGCCTTGGCAAACAAGGCAGTGTCCCTGATCCTTGATCATTGACGGATTCCTTCTCTCATTTGAGTGAAGTGTGAAACTTCAAGCATAGCTCTTTCGATTCCTCTTTGGGATATCCAAATAGCATTCTCATCCTATTTTCATAGGGCCCAGGTCTCTGAGGCATATGTTAATGCAGGAAGAATGACGGAGTTGAAAAATGTGCCCGAAGTCAGAGGTTCTTCATCTTCTTAACAACTTCTTCGACGCTCCTGAAGGCTTTCTACATAGCTCTCTTCCTCCTGTGCAGTTCAAGTGCCAGGTCATTCATCATTTGTCATCTGTATTCTTTGAGGAAGTTTATGTTCTTCTCTTCTCCCCACTTTTTGAGGGGGTTGACTGATTTTTTTCCTTGTTGTTTTTTCTAATGCCAGTTGATTTGTGCGGGGGTTGGTTGCAGAGAATGAGACAAATTAACACATAAGGAGAAAAACAAACAGATATGGACTATCCCGGCTTTAGGTCTGTGCAGCCATCAGTGGTTTCTCAGCAGGCCATTTATTCAATATGTTTTAAAATAATCTTCCCAACCCAGGTCTCATTTGCTTGAGCTAACAGACATTAAGGACAGTGGGTAAGCACATCAACATACGGTAGTTACATGGAGAGCTAGACTATTTCATATGGACAATCAGCAGACATCAAAACATCCTAAGCTGTTGATAGTATTCCTTCTTGGGAGCATTTTTGCTTGTTCTCTAGTCTATTCTTTCCTGTTTGCAAGTCCTTTGTATTCTAAGGCCTAAACTATTTTACCGAAGGGAATGTCCAAACCTTGGGGTATAGGCATATGAAAAAGAGCTTTCACAAATCAAAACAATAATGAGATATCACCTCTCACCAATGAGACTGGGACACATCAAAAAGAACAATTAGTGCTAGAATAGTGCTAGAATAAAGCAATCTGCATTCACTGCTAGTGGGAATGCCAAATGCTTTGACCTTTTCAGAAAATAATAAGAATTCTCAAAAAGAATAAGAATTGGGCTTCCATAGAACCCAGCAATCCCACTTTTCATCATCTACCCCAAAGGTCTAAGAACACTATTTTGAAAAGACATTTGCACTATGCTCATTGCAACACTATTCACAATAGCCAATATCTAGAAACAAACCAAAACCCTAAGAATAGAAGAATGAAAACACTGTGGTTTGATGTAGGCAGATAGACAGGATAGGGCACCCAGGTCATTCATCATGTTGAGTTCTCGACCTAGATATACATAACTGCTGCATTTGGAGATGTTCATTCCATTGAAACATCAGGAACTAGTCCATTTCTAATGAACATAATCTTTTCACTTCAGATTTATGCACAATAGACAAAAAAATGAAAGCAATTGACAATTGAATAAATAAATGATATGTGGTATATACAAACAATAAATTATCAGCCTCAATAAGAAAATTCTGTGAATTCTGTTGCATACTATTAAATGGATATTATCCTACAGATAGTATGCCAGGTAAAACTGGTTGTAAAAGAGATAACCTCGGCAGGTAGGGCACCTGCCTTGCATGTGGCTGACCCCGGTTAAAACTAGCACCACTTAAAGTCCCCAAGCACTACCAGGGGGTCATCCTTCAGTGCAGTCAGGAGTATATCCTGAGCACTCACAGCTTGGTATGCTAGCCCTCACGCACCAACCCGGCCCCCAAAAAACAACAAACAAAATAAGAGCTTTCTAAACTAGTCATTTATAGAAACAAAAAAAAATTTGGTAACCAGGACCTGCTAATCTGAGAAATCTCTCAAAGTCATTTCAATCTGTAAATAAATTATCTCACTCCTAACAGTAAATTTGAAAGAAACATTATCAAATAAAGGTCACAAAATGAGATGAAGGAGTCAGACAGATTAAGATAGAAAAGATGACTCGAAAATACAAAATAATTCAAGAAAAGCTGGGAGATAGCACAGCACTTAGGTATATATTAAGTTTGGGTTTCTATTATGGTACCACATGGTCCCCTAAGCATCACAGTGTAGACTTGGAGCTACCCAGAGGGGTATCACAGATACTTCCAGGACCCCAGAGCTAAGTAGCATCACATCCTTGTCACTTGCATTGAGTTCAGCTGGCTGAGAATTACTATTGGGTCCTCTGCATCTCTAAGTTGATTTAATAAAAGAGCTAAAGAAAAGAACACCTAATTCGAATAAAAATTGTTGACAGTTAATATGATAGCATGGGGACAAAGGTGGTGAGGATCTTGAGAAAGAAAGAATGCATAAATTTCAATTTTAAAAGTTTGTTAATTAATTCATCCAAATTCAATTCTAGAAGAATACAAAAATAAGAATGAAAAATGACAAATACCACAATCTTATGCATTAAAATACATAATACATAAAAACTTGATGCAAACCAATTTACAAATTTTTGACACATTTATGGAAAAATAAAACTTATCACAACTAGCCCATAAAGTCTAAATAGCCACATAACATGTAACAAATATTTAATGACTTCACCCATGTGTGTGACATAGAGATTAAAACAAAATGAGGAAAGTTAAACAATTAGAATCAAGCCAGGGGACACTGAAAAAAGAATTAAAATTAAGGTAAAGAAGGCACAGAGTGGGAAAAATGAGGCAAAATGTCAGTCTGCCTTGTTTCTCTACAAAAAACATAATAATGGTGTTAGAAGAGCCTGAGAGTCCAGCAGATAAACCCTGGCCTTGCACATGCACAACCCTGGTTTGATCCCCAGCACCCCATTTGGTACCCTGAGCCCCACTGGAAGTTATCCCTGAGGGCTGAGAAAAGAGCAAACCCTGAAGCACCAAGGGGTGTGTCCCTCAAACGAAAGCAAACAAAAAACAATAATGTAGTTAGAAACTCATAATTCCACCTGAATGCTCTACTGACACCTTGTCCTCAAAATCCACAAAAATTGTATCATTTTTTGTCATAGTCTCAGTTTCTCCATATCTATTATAAGAAAAACAGCCTGCTAATATCCATTACTCGCCTTCAAAGCAATACACTACCACTGTACTTTTCTTGTTCTTCCTTCAATCTTTTCAATCTTTGTATCTAGTCACCAAGTTTTACTATTCTCTTAACAATGTTCCTGCCTCAAATTAATCCAAATCACTCTCTTCTTAGAACAAGTCAAATAATTATTGCAAATTAATGAAATGAAATAAAATTA